AAAATAAAGTAATACAAGTGTGACAAAATTTGAAAAAGGATAGTTATTCTCTTTCCGAAGTACTAATCTCGAATCGTTGATAATATCAACGTTAATCTTCGCATTCCTAATACTCACACGCACGCGCAATGATTGTAACAGTTCGGCCTTTCCTGATATACAGCGGCGTCCTCGCCGATTTTCTTCTCAGCTGCTAACCCTCTCATATGTACACGTAATACAATGTAAATTCTTAAATCTAAACACCTACACCATTTTTTTTAATCGTATATTTGCTTACCACTCTAAATATACAACCACGTAGTAAATCACACCTATACAACAGGTTTCAATCTATCGACAGCAATAATTGCTTTGTATAATCTACCGCTCTGTTGTTCGCCTTCGATGTCCTGTACAAAATAACTGTCGTTATCAAGCGCCTTTACAATCTCGTACGGACCCTTATATTTAGGTTCTAGTTTCCTACTTTGACCAGTCGAAGCCGTATCGCTTTTGACCATTACTAGTTCGCCTACTTTGTATATTCGGGCTTCCTTACGCTTTTTATCATAACGCAACTTCATCTTTTTACGATTCTCATCTAGCATTTCGGACACCGGTCTTTTATCATCATTGGCATCTAATTCTTCATTTAATGTTAATAATTNGAGATATTAAATGCCAATTACTTTTATTCTTTCTTCAAATGCAAAATATGGTGTGCACTAATCAAAATAAAGTAATACAAGTGTGACAAAATTTGAAAAAGGATAGTTATTCTCTTTCCGAAGTACTAATCTCGAATCGTTGATAATATCAACGTTAATCTTCGCATTCCTAATACTCACACGCACGCGCAATGATTGTAACAGTTCGGCCTTTCCTGATATACAGCGGCGTCCTCGCCGATTTTCTTCTCAGCTGCTAACCCTCTCATATGTACACGTAATACAATGTAAATTCTTAAATCTAAACACCTACACCATTTTTTTTAATCGTATATTTGCTTACCACTCTAAATATACAACCACGTAGTAAATCACACCTATACAACAGGTTTCAATCTATCGACAGCAATAATTGCTTTGTATAATCTACCGCTCTGTTGTTCGCCTTCGATGTCCTGTACAAAATAACTGTCGTTATCAAGCGCCTTTACAATCTCGTACGGACCCTTATATTTAGGTTCTAGTTTCCTACTTTGACCAGTCGAAGCCGTATCGCTTTTGACCATTACTAGCTCGCCTACTTTGTATATTCGGGCTTCCTTACGCTTTTTATCATAACGCAACTTCATCTTTTTACGATTCTCATCTAGCATTTCGGACACCGGTCTTTTATCATCATTGGCATCTAATTCTTCATTTAATGTTAATAATTTATGCGTTAATGGACTGGTATCAATTCCTACACCTTTCTTTCCAAAGACTATTTCGTATGGTGTTCGTTTTGTGACGCTATGCTCTACGTTATTAATACACCGTTGCATTTTGGGTAGATGCATATCCCAATCGTCTCCGTCTTCATTGCAAGTAGTTGCTATACAAGTTAAAATAAATCTATTCAAACGTTCCACTTGTCCATTCGCTCTGGGTGTCGCAGTAGCAATCTTTACGTGTTGAATATTCGAATCTTTACAGAATTGTTCGAAATTAACAGAAGTAAACGCTGTGCTTCTATCTGTAACGATACGTCTAGGTTTCCCATAATGCGAAATAAATTCCCTAAGAAAATTTACAGTTTCGTCTGTGCCAGCATCAGGCACCGCCTTGAGTGCACTATATTTACAAATCCTTTCTGTCGTAATAAACGGTCCTAAATGATCTGAATGTACAACATCGAATGGTTCGCTGCCCTTGTCTAAGTGATGTAGTAAACCCGGCATTTTCCCAGTTGGCGTTTTATAATACAAACAGTTTACACAACGGTTCACGTAACTGGTAATGAATTCTCTCATTCGCGGAAAATAATATGTTTCTTTGATTGCCGCCAATGTTTTATCAACTCCAACATGACACAAACTTTTATGCGTTTCGGATACAATTTCATGACGCAAATCATTCGGCACATACAACCTCCACCTCCCTTTCGTGACTCGATAAACTCTACCATCGCGCATAGTGAATTTTTCATGCGTCGCTTGGTCGCCTTCTTCTAGTTTGTCGCGTATACTTATTATCTCTGCATCTGCTCGCTGCATTGATGCAACCCAATCTGTATTTACCGTTATTCCTAATACAGGTAATCCAACCAATGAGGTCTCTGTCGCATCTTCAACGGGATTACGACTTAAGGTCTAGTCCCACTGACGACACGACAACGACAGTTTGGGTTTTTTGAGGTGATGGGGCGGCCGTGCCAGTACCGTACTGGCTACGCATACTAGCTCGGCCGCCCCACCACCTCAAAAAACTCAAAATGTCGTTGTCGTGCCGTTGTCGTGTCGTCGTGGGGCTAGACCTTAAGAGCATCAGCAAGTACATTTCCCGTGCCTTTATGATATTCTATGATATAATCGTACTCACTCAACTTGACGAACCATCGTCCGATTCTAGGATTAAGGTCCCTCTTTGTAGTTAATAATTTCAGACTATTACAGTCCGTTTTTATCTTAAAAGATATACCGATTAAATACACTCGAAATCTCTCTAACGTTGCAACAATTGCTAGAGTTTCTAACTCATACGAGTGATAGACTGATTCCTCTTTAGTTGTCTTACGACTGAAATACGAAATCGCGTGAAGTTTACCATCAGAACCCTCTTGTAACAAAACCCCTCCGATTCCGTGACTACAAGCGTCGGTATGTACTTCCGTACGCGCTCCCGGATCATATATTTTTAATATCGGCGCATTACACAACCGTTCTTTTAATTTATGAAAAGCATCAATTTGAGATTCTCCCCAACTGAAACTTGCATTCTTCCTCAACAAATCCGTCAAGGGTCGTGCAATGACTGCGAAATTTCTAATAAACCGTCTGAAATAACTAGCAAGTCCAATGAAACTACGTACTGTCTTAACATCAAAAGGCATTGGATACTCTTTTACGCTAATTAGTTTTCTATTTCCCGGTGCGATTCCTTCCGCCGTTATCTCAAACCCTAAATATTCGATTTTTCTTTGTAAAAAGTAACATTTCTCCAATTTTAATGTTAGATTCGCTGATCTTAACTCTTTAAAAACTTCTCGAAGTTTACTGAGACCATCTGCGACCGTCTCCGAAGGAATAATTATGTCATCGATATATGCCATTGCCATTACACCGCGCAATTTGCTTAATACCGTGTTAATCAGTCGCTGAAAAGTTGCAGGCGCGTTGCACAATCCAAAAGGCATTCTTTTAAATTGATAATGTCCGTCGACAGTGCTGAACGCAGTAATATGTTTAGAATCTTTCGACATCGGTACCTGATAATACCCATTACTTAAATCTAAGGTCGTAAAATATTTCATACCATTCAGTCGGTCCAACTGATCGTCTATCCTCGGCATAGGATATTGTCGCTTAACTGTGTTTTTATTTACCGCCCTATAGTCTACACACATGCGTACATCGCCTGTCTTCTTCTTCACGAGTAATACCGGACTCGAAAATGGAGACTCACTCTCTTCGATGATATTAGCATCCATTAGCCCCTGGATGATTTCACGTTGCTGTTGTTGTTCCTGTTGCGATACTCTATATGGTCGATAACATACTGGATTATCATTTATCAACGTTATTGACATCTCCGCTCGATCGGTGCAACCTATTTGACAAATGTTTTTGGCGATTAAGTCTTTAAAATCGTTAATGACATCTACCACCTTTTCGAATTCTGTTTCAGACAAATTATTATCGGTATTGATTTCGTCTGGCTTTATACTTTCCGTATTAACTTCTCGGCTTACGGTTCTGGCATTTGACATCACCGCTTCTCCACGAGTAAGAATTGTCCCTTCATCAATCACCAGTTCACCACCTGAAATGTTCAGTACTGGAACCATAGACATTCCTTCATCATCAGCTTTTACCAGGCATCTGGGTATCAATTGTCCGTCTTCACGTATGCCACCTTTCAAGCAAACGTCCTTGTTGCACATGTCGGTACGTGCAGCAATATATCCTAAATAATTGTTTGGCAGAATACTGGCTTCCTTGGCCCATCAAATCGTCTTCTGCGGTTCTTCGACTTCGCTGTCATCTACTCGACGAATTAGCAATTCGTTTACTCCGCTAACAATCTCCACGTGATCTTGCTCCGTATAGGGATGACCCACGATCAATGGTATCGCTTGATACTTTTGCGAAACGACATGAATCTTCATCTTGACTGTAACACCGTCGATTGTGAGTGATACCGTGAGCATTCCTACTGGCGTCACCGTCCCGTTGCCATAACCCGTCAATGATTCGAACGTTCCTTCGAGGTAGGTTATTCCCATTTCGTCAGCAACATCCTGTCTCAACGTCACGCATGAACTCCCCAAATCATAAAAACAAACATGATACTTTATCCGTATCATTTTTAGGATTATCCTTGCCCTTAGCAATCGGTTGACTAACGGTTTTACAATCCTTCGCAATGTGTCCACTTTTCTGACATTTGAAGCACACAATACTTTCTCGGTTTCGAACATCTATTCGCGGCATGACCTTGACCATTACAATTATAACATGTCATGGTTGGTTTTCTCTTATTGGCATGACCAATCTCTTGGATACGCTGTGAATTCTCCTGCAATAAGTGGTTAGCGCTTTTCAAATCTGGCAACAATAAATTGGCTTTCGTATACTTCGCCAATGGACCCAAGAAATCTCGAAATCGTGTATTTTTCAACCCTTGGACTATCCATTCGACCGCTTCTTGATCTGACATCTTTGCTCTATTACATCTAGACAGCTTTTCGTAATAATATTCGACTATATCCTGTCCCGGTTTTCTACTGTATTCTTGAGCATCAAGACGCAATTTGATACAACTAGTGTCGCATGGGAAGGCTTCCACCAATAGTTCCTTCCACTCGGTCCAAGACCGTTGACCTGCGGGAAGACTATCGCGCCATTTCCGTGCTACACCTTCTAATTTCGCTAACGCGTAGTGTTTTCGAGCTACTTCATCCCAAGAATATAAAAGTGCGTACTCCTCTAGTTTACATATCCAATTGTTAATATCTGCATCGGGTTTAATAGGATCAAAAGCAAGTAATACCTCATAGACGTCCTTGAAGAGTCTCATGTTATGCTCGTTTCCTGCGCTGTTCGAAGTAGTCATCTCGAGAGCCGTTTGTTCGCCGTCGGTTGCTTCTGTCCAATATTCGATAATATTTTCTTCACTAACACCACTTGTACTGTGCGTATCTCTGGTATCGTCGTCTAATACAGCCGTTCGAGTGTCAACAGGTTTTTGCCTATTTGCCTTAGCGTTCG